AAGATTGCTCAATAAACCAAGAGGAGGACTAAAATATGACCCAAATACATCACCTCGAGCTATAAGCCCAGAGTCTATAAAGCAACATGTCATAGAGATGTTTCCATCTGTATGTTTTGCTGCGCTGTATACAGTAGTCAAGTTACAGAATCATCCTAAGTATTCATCAACAGAAGAACTGATAAAGAAATTGTACTATCCTTGCACAGTGGAGCTATATTTAACCACAAAGAATTACATTATAACATTTGCAGAAAAATAGACATAGCTGCTGCTGGTGATGGTGATATCACTTGTTTCTGTTTCTCATTTATTTGTGGATCCTAGGTTTTCGTACAGATATATAAAATAACATAGAATATACATATATGTGTAATCATATTTTTATGTAGAAGCAAGAGTCTCCATGAAATGGGAATAAATGGGAAAGTGGAAGAGGTGAGGAGAGGAAGGAGGGAGAATGAATGTATCCAAAGTACATGATATGGTCACAGGAAATGAAGCCTATCACTATGTATAATGAATATATACCAATAAAAATTTGTGTTAAAAGTACTACAGGGCTTTTACATTTTAAAATATAATTGGAGTTTACATAAAATGTTTTCATGTAGAATAAGCATATGCTACTCTTGAGATTTGTGATAAATGACCTTGATACTGGTCTTTTCCCTTAGTAATAATAAAGAAGAAACATTTATATAAGATTTTGAGTCTTTTTTTGGAAGAGAACATTTGCCAATCATCCTTAGTCACCTCTATTTTAATTCTGACCATTACAATAAGACTCACTTGTAAACATCTTTAAACTTTTTACTCAATTAATGAAAAACTATCATGCTAACTGCAGCTCAAAGGAAGTACCAAATAGTTAAGAACTTAGGCTTTAGCCACTAGCCAAATGTTTTCACTAGTCCAATAAAAAACTATTCTTTTCCCTGAAAATTCTGAACATTTAAACTTAGTGAATGTCTATTCTGTACATCTTGTTCTAATCACTGAGAATTACAACGATAAATGATTTTTTCTGTTCTTAGCTACTTTGCTATCTATTAAATCATGGTAGTCCGACAGACACAAAATTAACTCCAAATACATATAAAAAGCAAGACATGAAATAATAAAGGCATAAAAATATTTAAGCTGGTGGGAAACCATATGCCACTACCACAACATTTTGGAAGCAGAAACAGGCACTCTAAGTGTGTTTCAGGGCTGGATGTTCTACAAAGGAAGTTCCAAGCCAGAATGGGCTACATAGTAAAATCCTGTCTCAAATACACACACACACACACACACACACACACACACACACACATTCATAGATATGTATATATGTAGGACCGTGATGGACGGCCTGGTTTCTGATAGAGCATGGACTAGAAATTGCTGGTGACCCCGGGTAATCCGAAAGGACAGCATGCATTTTGCCATGCTCCCAGACTCCAGGCTCCTGACACAAGGCCGAAGACCTCCATAGAGTGGGGTCCTCTAGTCATGTAGGACATAGCCCCTCCACAGGTAGAGGGCGTGTCTATAGGCCACAGAGTCCTAAGACAGATCTCCATATTAATGAGATACCTAAAGGCCAGAGGGGCATAGCCAATTAAACATTCCTTCCCAGACCCTCCTCCTTGCAAAAGATATTTAACCTCAGGCCTGTCCTGAAAATGCCAGGGTACAATTTTCATCCATTTTCTGCCATGAAAATAAATATCAAGACCATGGACTGTTTTTCTTCTTCGAAATCTGTTGTGGGGATCAGTGGAGCAGGTCTTCATCCATAGAACCATCACTTAATTTCCCACAGAAGAACTCTCTACATTCCCAGCTACAGAGACCAAGCAAGCAGTCACCACACAGCCAAGCAAGCTGCAGCAACCAAGACAAGAACTCTCCTCCTCACCCTCCACCCTTCAACTGTAGGCCAATCCAGCCTGTACGCCCCCACTTAATTCTTGGCCCTTCTGCAGCCCCTCAGTGATGCCTGGGGGCCCAAGGGCCTGAGAACCAGCTGGTTCATGGCCACCTTTTGGCCCGGGGACCCCCAAGCCAAGAGCTCTGGCTCCCTGTGGTACCTCAGACTGTGCTCTCTCACCCTTGGAGCAGAGTCCCACAGCTTCACATAGCCCCATGTCTGCCTAGTCAGAGCCAGCGTGGAGTGAGCATAGTCAAATTCCCATGCCTCCGTCCCCATGAGAGGCCCTAGCCACATGGCAAGACAGACTGGGGACCCACACATCAACCCACACACACTACAACCCAACATGTGTATATATGTATATATGTGCACATGTATGTGTGTAATATATGTATGTATATACACATATAAATACACATATATGCATACATACATGCATGCACATGTATAATACACACATACATATGCGTACACATATGCATACACATACGCATACACATACATATACATATATGTATGGAGAGAGTGACTACATCTAACTTTGTTACTTAGGTATGCTTGCTATAAAGCAGTGGTTCTCAACCTCAAGTTCATGTTAGTAGTACCTTGGGAGCTTTGAGAAAACTTCATGACCAGACTTCATTCAAATAAATCAGGATGCATCCTGCATCTTGACTTTCTAATCTCCCTAGATGAGTTCATTGTGCAGCCAAGCTTGAAAACCATCATCATAAAAGACTAGAAAAATATAAAAGAATGGGGTAACCTTTTGGTGGAAAGGGACAGAGAATTAGAGCACTTTCAAGAATCTTCTCCTTAGTATAACTAATTTATTTTTACTTGCCAAACATTAGGTCAATTATAACATTCTCTGAAAAGCACTTTCCGACTTTCCCCATGATATCAATAGGAATCTTAATAATAGTAATATAAATTATCACTATTTTATGGACTGTACTATATTCCACATGCCATAACAAGCACTTTAATTATGCTTTGATATTATCCTACTGAAAGATACTAGGAGACAAGTAGCAGTATTAGTATTTAATTTTACATACAATGAAAAAGATAATTTGTCAAGGTAATACAAAAAACTTGGTGGAATTGGTTGTAGAACTACAAAATGTATGTTCTGAAACATGACCTACTGATCCTATCTTACATAGCCCAGGCATATGTTAATCATACTGTGAAACATTGTATTATAATCCTATGTGATTTTTCATTTGCTACTCACTTGTTCATCCAATTAACTGGTTTGGAATTTATTCTCAATGTAGTTGATGATAGAACTATGAAGACTGGAAATTAGTAGTGCAGAGCACACATCAGCAAATGTCTTGACTGGCCAAATCTTACTAGCCACTTCTTTTTATAAACAAAGTTTTTTGAGCCACAACCATGGCCATTGGTTGACTAATTTTGTTACCTGCAGTGACCTTCATGTTGCAAGATTGCTGTAGAGTAGTTATGGCAACAATCTTATTACAAAGCCTTAAAATTTACTGTCTGAATATTTACAGCAAGTTTGACAGCCCACGGTCTAGAGCACAAGACAAATAAATCTAATGACCACCCAATGATATGCGTGCTGTGGTACACAGAGATGGAACATTAGAAAAGTACATGTAAGGGTAGGTTGTAGGGCAATCAGTTCCTATAAGGCATGGTGTTGGAAGCTTGGTACAGTTACCTGGATACAGAGGAGCATCCACATCAGTAACATCACGTCTATAGCGAGAGAGGCAAGTGACTATTTAAATAATAGAATAAGTATGTTTACTTGATGCAAAAAAGCTTTATATACCACATGAAAATGTAGTTTGATTTTATTTTTATCATTTTATTGAAGAGGGATATATGGGCAGGGTCTTGTTATGTGGTCCAGGTTGGCCTTGGAGTCATGATCTTCCTGTCTCAAAGTACTGGGACTAGACACATGCATCGTCATGCTCAGCTAAGAGATTGCCTAACTATCATTAGAGTATTAGTATATCATCTAGAGAAACACATGGCAAAATGCACTTCTAGAAACAGCAGCTCTGCTTGTTGCACAGTAAAATGACTACCATTAACAATTCCGCACTTACACTTCAAAATAGCTAATAGATAAGTTCTTAGAGTTGTCATCATAAGGAAAGACGAAATAATTAATAATATATAAATTTTAGCTCAATTTAAACATTATGTATACATGAATGTATGAAAATATTACATTACTTCATTAATGTGTTTATGTTGCTATGTATCAATTAAAAAGAATAAATTTAAAGAAACATTAGATATTTATAAATATTCAGTTGTTAACTAAAATGACCAGTTCTTAAGTAAAAGAAGAATGAAAAATGCATAACAGGTTATCCTTTGTAGATATTGAATTGATTGACCTATAAGAATTTTATCTTCTTCAACCCACACAACACACAGACTAGCTCAGGAAGCTAGCACCATTACAAACTAGTAATCCCAGCACTCTGTAGTCCAGGCAGGACAATCTTGAGTTCACGTTCACCTGGATTACTTGGTGAGAACCTGCCTCAAAACAAGAGAAATGTTGTGGGATATTTGATCACACTGTGAACCCCAAGACTGCGAACTGGCAAAACCTTGTGGTGTGTCTCCGCCCTAGCATCCATCTTTAGCACAGAGCTTTTAGTTTATTGTTAACAAGTACTTGTGTGGTTCAGCCCTTGCACACACCTTAAATCCAAGAGCTAAATAAAGTAATTCCTCTGTGAAGAAGCAGAGCCAGCAACCAGCTCACAGGGAGTGAGCATAAGTAATGAGAAAGGAGAGACATTAAGCTGGAAGGTATTTAAGACAGAGAAAGAAAAAAAGCTTTATTCTTCTGAGATGCTGGTGGAGTAGGAGGGTCAGCTGGGTGCTTTCTCTGCCTTTCTGACCTAGCAGGCTTTCACAACAGTATCTGGCTCCTAAATCTTCATGTGCTAAAACCCAGTGGCTGGGATTTTTGTTTTCTAAAACAACAGAGAAATGGTCAGAAAGTTCTGTTTTTTATTGTTGCAATCATATATAAAATACTAATAATCTGTGAAGTGGTTGCAATAGACTATACCTGGAAAATTCATGGGCAGCTCAAACGGTTTCAGAGACTCAGAATCTCCAATATCACCCTCACAAATTTCAGCCATTATCTTCTTAATTTTGAGACCTGTGATTTTAATCACTTCTCCTGTTGACAAACAGCATTCATTGCCAAACATCTCATAAACAGACCCTGAAAAGAAAGAAAATAATCTTTTTTTTAAAGGTTCAAAAGTGAAGAACAAAACAGATGTGAAACCCTAAGTGTAAACCAACTTGTTTGTTTGTTTTGCTTAATTGAATTTATGGTTTCCCCATCCCCTTTAGCTCATTTACCCAAGGACAAACCACAGTCACCCCTTCCCTGCTAGGATTTTTGGTACATTTTGCCAGGTAACAGAATTAGCCCATGTAAGTCAGTAGCAATTTGAGTATGCACTGCAAACAAGGCTGTAATGAAATTCAAGACCCAAAGACAGAGAGGCCTGTATACCAGGACTTCATACTAACAGCTTCCTATTTATTTTTCAGATCTGGTCCTTGTCATCAGCGTGAATTTAATTCTTTTTGCACATTTCCATCTGTTGCTTATTGACAAGTTGGAAATAACACTCAATACGTTTATGGCAATAGGTGGCAGACCAACCTAGCAAAACAGAGAAGAATCACTTCGGTTCAGGATCTCAGCCTCCTTGACAAACCTTTCATCACAGATGCTAATGTTAAGGTTTTTGTGCCTTTGTTTTCTTTCTGTGTCTCCCAATACGAGGAGAACAGGCAGTGGAACAATCAACCGATGAGCTCCACAAAGATGAGTGACTACAGTTCTGGACAGTCAGCCTTAGTCTAATGATTGTGTCACAAATGAACAGTAACTTATAATTGGTGTAAGAACATTACAGAACTGCAGGCAATCAAATAGGATAGCAATTTGTCCCTCTCTTCATGGTGGCTCAAAGCTTCTTGACCATACTAAATGTAAGGTTATGAGGACAAAATGCGTAGCTTTGTCTTCTTTCTGGATTGTCCTCTTTTAAAAAATAAATTTTCTGTTTCTCTTTCTTGTTTAGTGTCCTCACAGACCCTGATATGATATATGGCAAGATACTGTAGCTCTTTCATAGCATTCATGGCTCCTGTAAAAATTTCTCAAACTGGAATCTCATGCAGTTCAAAATGCTCTGATTGTATCCTTGTCTCAACAGGTAATCAGAAGGGACTGGAAGTCCATAGGGACAATTTGCATAGAGGCACAGCCACCCCTAGGCAACCTAAGAATACAGATGTCCATCAGACAGAGACAGAAAAAAAAAACAGGCGGGGAGACTATAGTGAGTAGTGACTTTCCTGATTACAAACAAAATGATAATCACAAATTAAAGAGCAATTTTCTGTGCTAGCATTTGCATGAAGTTCTTATCCTAATATTAACACAAGAAGCCACAGGGCAGGGAAGATGCTAACAGCCTAGGTGGACTTGAGGCCCCCAAGCAGAAGTCCAACCTGTAAACACTACCATCCTGTGCAGAGAGCTGGTCCTGAAGGCCAGCTTGGCTGGTCCTTGAGCTTTTAGGTTCTGAGCCACAGCCACCTTTTGATTTCTCATACCTTTCTCTTAACTACTTGTATTCCTGTACCTTCATTAACCTTGCTACATGGAGTTACCAGTTTCAAGTACTTTATGGAATAAGCTGAAGTATAAAATAAATAATTTTTAAAAAAACATGGCAATGCCCTCTGTCAGTGACTTCAGAACACATATCTGCTATGATAAATCACATATTCACATTTCATACCACTACTATTACATCATCCTGCATTTAACTTTCTATGAGTTTAGTTTTTATTATTCCCAATTCAAGTTTAAGGTTCACTGGAAAAAATATATTACATTATACTTTTGTATGATTACAGCACACCTTTCCATCTGTAAACCAAATATGTTAGGCCTCGTGATTGGTAATATGGATCAGGGATAATATATAAAGTCTTTATCCCCAGAAGCCTGGTCCTGCAGAGTAAACAGGTAGATAGACCATTGCGGAAAAACCAAAAAGAAACTTCTAGAAACTTTAAGCAGTGTATTAGGCCTAACCTAAAAGGAGGGAAAGTGTTTTGCTTTTGTTTTTAAGAAGAGATAGATGGAGAGACTCAAAAATAAACAATTTTTTTTATTAACTTTACACTGAACAAAACAATGGTGTGAAGTAACCTTAAAGTCAGGGAATCTACATTTCTAGTTATCAGGGTCTGGGAACAAATACCAATTTAATAAGAGGTCATTTGTACTCTAGACATTAACTACCCAAACTGTAGTCCACCGTGTCACCCGGGAGCTTGTTAGAATCTTGGTCAGACTTGCTGAATCAGAGCCTGCATTTTTAACAAGATCCCCAGATGATTAATAAGCACATTAAGCTTTGTAAAACATTGGTCTGGGCTGCAAGTACACAACTTGAAATAGCCTGTTTGGAGATTGTTGCAAAACCAATCAGAGGAGAATGTGCCACCCTCCCTCAGAAAACCTTGTGTCACTGAGGTGGGTAGGAGGAGCAAAAGGAATTGCAATATATGTTAAGGAAAGAGTTTAACCTGCGAAATAGGACATAATATAATTGAACACCTTTTAGCTGCAAGTGTTGAACTTAATTTCAGTACAATGAGTGTCTATTCTTCAATATGACTTATAGCCAACTGACTGGCTGGGAATGCCATCTTCTTTCAAAGGTTCAAAGGGATTCAAAATTCAAAAGATAAATTTGTGCAAAATTGTATCTCTATTTGTAGGAGCAAGATGTCAGAGAATTATACGACAACAAAATTATGAGTTTTAGCCACCACATGAAGAGCTTCTAGTCTCTCTTTAAGCAACTATCCATCTACTTAATAATAAATACTTCTTTTAATATTAGGGTAAGAGCATCACACAAATGCTAACACAGAAAACTTCTCTTTAACATGTTTAATCTTTTTTGTTTCTAACAAAATAGGAAAAGTCACTATTCACTATCCTCTCTTGCTTTCCCTCCCTGCCTCCCTCCCTCCCTGCGAGTCACCGGCCCTCCCTCCCTCCCTCCCTTCTTGCCTGCCTTTCTCCCTTGCTCCCTCTTTCTTTCTCCTTAGAAAATGTTTTATTTAGTCCAGGCTTCTCTTCAACTCATGTTGCAGCCCAAGAAGTCCCCAGACTTCGGATTTTCCTGCTTCCAGCTTCCCAGGGAATTACATTTTGTACTGCCACACCCATCTTACATGGTGTCAGAGATCTAACTACAGGCTTTGTGCTTGTAAGACAAATGTTCTACCAGACACACAACATCCTTGCCCATGTTCTGCTTGGAAGACTGCTCAGGGGTCATCAAAATTAAGAAATTATGTCAGTGACAGGTAACAAGGGCATGTAGCTACTTGTAGATCCCTGAAACAGGCAAGTTTCCCATATTTTGCTCTTACCAATGTAACACCTCCAAAAATATGTTTTCCTGCATTTTAATATAATGATGAATTTTAAAAATAGGCAACTTTCATATTCTCAGAATAATCAAGTATGTGTGATTGCTTTTTAAACCTCTGCTGAGATGTGTGTCTGAAATATGTTTGCTTATATATAGCCATACATATTCAAGTAGTTTTCATTCCATTTTAACCAGGATACATGTATTTTGAATATGCAAGTCTCGAATCTACTAAATCTTTACAGACTGATTCTTTCCAAGTCAGAGCATATGTATTCAGGATAATGCCAAACATCAGAGCAAACTGGAACAAAGCAGCCTGTTTTCAGTGATCAAACATTGGCCCTGAAGGCTGTAATGAAAGAGCCATGCGCCTTTGAAATCACCTTTTCTGTAATGCTACTTTGCTCGATAAAAATGACACATTAATATCCTTTTATGAGCTCATTCCTTGCTTGACAATCCATATAAGCAATGCTATGATCACATAGAAACAGCTGAAACAATTGGTTCAATAGACTTTTTTTCCCCTTCCAATTCTCCACAAAGTTAAAATATGTGGCAGTAGGGAAAGAAAAAGCTCCATTGTCTGGATGTTTTCTTTTCTGTGCTTAAATACACTATGCTGCAAACTATGCCACGTCCTTCATTCCTTTACCTCTTCATCGACCTGTCTAAGTTTGATCAACCCTAAATATTCAACTAACACTCATCCTCAAAGCCTCCTTATATCCAACCTAAAGAAATGCTCATTTCCTCCTGTGTTCTAATACCACTTTGTACACATTACCTGATTGACCTTTAGGGACTGTCATCATAACTTGAATTGGGACATCATTGTTTTAGTATTGACATAATGTACATTGGGGGATTTATTATGATTTCCCAGTAAATCAGTAACATGTTAATTAAATGTACAAACTCTCACCTTTCTATCCACACACCTATGATGGTTTTTGTGCCACACTAGGTGCCTAGTGAATGTTTTCATTACTAATCTTTACTGTAAATGATAAGTTATTGAAACTGTATCAGCATCTTTCTATAAGAGCATGTCCTATTCAAGGATCTGTGTGAATTGTATTTTCTATTGGTGTATTTACTATCAAAGTGATAAGCACATGTCAGATTGTCTGGCTGCCTTCTGAATATTCTAAAGAATATTCCAGGAAAGTGGTTCTTTGATGTGATTTCTATTTATTGTTTTCCATATTAGGTACAAAGGGTTGAAACTATGGCCTTATGCATGTTAGGTAATCAGTTCACAACTGAGCTATATTGCCATCTCCCTTTTCACTTATTATTTTGACACAAGGTCTCACAAAGCTGCCTAAGCTTGTCTAAAGCATGCTCCTCAACCTCTTGAGTCACTGGGAATACAGGTATGCACCACCAGGCATGACGGTTACTTTCCTTTATATTTGGCTTCTCTATATGCTAGACTTTACAGTAGCAATCATTTGAAGATTTGTAGTAGACAGGGATGAGTTAAGAAGTCTTACTTTAAAAATATAGTTGCCAGTAATTGTCTATGGTATATAAGCTAGTATATGACAATGTTTAGAGAGCCATACTAATAGACATATCTTTATAAATATGTTGGTGATTCTCTTCTCATGCATAGTATACATTATCAAGAAATAATTTTCCCATAAAGGAAGCCTCTAAATGTGAAATTATTATATTGGAATCATATCCCTAAATATTGTAGTTGATAAAATATAAAAGATACCATCAGAGA